AGTTCTAGCGGAATACTGTGAGATAAATCAACTCACAGTAAACGAGAGTAAAACAGAAATCTTATACTGTCGTAAAGCTGGACCAATCCCTAAAAAACTTAAGTTTCTTTATAATGATAAAAACATTAAGGATGTATCCCATGTAAAAAAAAATCGTCTTAAAATTGTCTTAAAATTGTCGTTCGTTTAAGATCTTAAACGTGACACAAACTAAGACTATTTTAAGATTCTTTTAAGATGCCAAAAAAAAAATTCCGAGATTTTTTAATAATTATTTTGATTTTTTTAAGACTATTTTAAGATTTTTCAAGACTATATAAAAATTATTTTAAAACTTAAATCTTAAAATAGTCTTAGAAAAATCTTAAAATCGTCTTGAAAAAATCTTAAAATAGTCTTAAAAAAATCAAAATAATTATTAAAAGTTAGTTTGTGTCACGTTTTAGATCTTAAACGAACGACAATTTTAAGACAATTTTAAGACGATTTTTTTTACACGGGATCAAGCTATACATATTTAGGTATTCCCATATCTTCATCTGGGCGATCTAGACTTGCAATGTTGAATGCAATTAAAAAGGCAAGGCTCGCAATTGGCGCGGTAATTTCACTAATCTATCGCTCTAAAATAAAAAACTTCGATATTATTACTGATCTGTTTGACGGAATGGTTGCCTCAGTAGCCCTATACGCGTCTCCTGTATGGGTCTTGAGATACTCTGATGAACTGGACAGCTTGCAAACTGAATTCTTTAAGTCAGTATTAGGTCTCAAACGTACTACTTTTAACGCCCTGGTTAAATTTAAAACCAATAGAATTGATTTATCATATAAAATCTGGAAACAAGCATGGAAATGGCTAGTTAATATATTAAGAATGGACGAAAATAGACTGCCGCATAAATGTCTCATGAAACAAATCACAGTATATAAAAACAATGAAAAATCTGCCGAGCTTAACTGGTTTGCCCAAATATGTAATTTTATAAAATCAGTAGACAATAATTACATGTATCTCATTGACACAAGAGACAGTAGAACATGGGAAATAGCATGTGAAACACTCTTAAATAAATATAAAAACATTCTGAATGAAAAAATTTTAATTCAGACTAGCAATATTGCATACCTGGAATCTAATGTTGTTTGCAAACCAAACACAAATAGATATCTCAAATGCAATGTTGACTTGAAAATTAAGAAAGTATTTGCACAAATACGCACTGCAAACAATTTTGGTTTTAAAATCATAACTAATGGTCAAGTGAACGAATTTTTCCCATTTTCTAACTGTCCTGTTTGAGACAGGAGAAAAAGATACCTTGACTCATTTCCTATTTAGATGTCCTATTCTTAATAAAATCAGACCAAAACTCTTTGATAGCATTAAACTCAATAAATCAAACAACACTTTAAATGAACTATTAAACCTACACAAGCCAAACGAACTAAAATCACTCTATCATAATATTGTAAGTTTCTGTAGCTTAAGAGGATCCAAACTATGTAACATTGTAAACTAAAGTTATCTTTATTTCTAAATTTTAAATTCTTAGTAATATTTTAGTAAATAAAAGGCTGAAATACTATTGTAACCTCTATTGCAAAAATGTAAATGTACAAAAAAGCAATTAATAAATATATACTTATATTTGTTGCATAGATTTGATGGTATATTTTTATAATGAAATATTTATTTCTGTTGTAAGAATAAATACCTTATTTTCATGTCATTAATGTTTTGGCACCATAACAGACTAATAAATTTGTTTCTACTCTCGCATGTGTGAAAATTGGTATGCCTGCTTCTTTTTTTGTATTTGGTAAATGTAGCTACCTGTACAAAAAGCTCCACCCACGCAAGATAATCTCGAAGTGCTTCCCAACATTGAAGGTGATAATGTCGCGAGAGAGTCTCTTTCTATCACTTAGAAAGGAATAATCATCTACTTTTTGCTCTACCAGTGCCAATGATTTTTTTTTGTCAACTCTTGTAGGCCAAATCGCCTTTAAAATATGTAAATAACAACTAAAATGAATTTTAACTGTAACATACAACAACTTTCACGTAGCTCTTTTTAATTTCTCAATTTCATAGTTACTAATATAATACGAGTTAATACTTCTTTTTCTAGCCTCCAGTAACAATGAATATTCCGTTGACCAATCTTCTGCTTTAATGCCTTATTCATCTGTATCTATAATAGTCTCGACATCAAAACCTTCTGCTTTGATGCCTTCTTCATGATTAAAAATCATAATTATGAATTACTACGTGAAAACTAAAGGGGGAGAGAGGGGTCTTGGTATATACTACGAGTGGTCACCGAGGGAAGGGAGGGGTCGAAAATACTTAAAAAATAGGTCACGTAGTATGGGTATGTTTCCTAACGGGATGTGTAGAATAATTCGCTAGTCAACATTTCATGGTATCGAAGCCAGCGAAGGCGCGCTGTTTTGCAGGGAAACGCTAGAATATGAGAATGATGCCGTAGTGTCTCCGACAACGAGTTGTCATTGTCCTCGTCAAAGTCGGAAAGCCCTCATATTTAGGCCTGGGGTGGTATGAGGATTATCACCCATAGGGCGGCTGACTCACCTGCGATCGGGCCAGGTATTCTAGCGTGCGGGGTTTGTTTATTTTAATGAATTGTAATGCTTCTTCTACCTTTAACTCACTCAACTATACTTAAAGAAGAGTACACAAATCTGGAAACTGTCCTGAAAAAAATCTGGAAAACGGTTGACCCTACAGGCCATCCCTGCAACTTCCCGCCAATTCCATACCTAAACGCTGAAATTGCACTTATGACGTTTCTGAGCTCAAAAATACAATTTCTTCCACTTCGGGCGGGAAGTGTCATTTTCCTCCCGCGGCGTTAAATGAAAATGCCGCTGTTCGCTTCCGTCGAGGAGGAAAATAGTATTCTAACCACGGGCAGGAAATAAAAAAGCCTCAGATCACATGTTTGTCGACCTCGGCTCGCCTCGGTCAAGACCCATATTATGAAATTTTATAGTTAAATTGCCAACATATTTTATATATAATATACTGTACTCAGCTACTAAACTATTTAAAATTGTTGCATCGTGGCGAAGAACACCTAGACTCACTTTTTCAAGTTGTGCGAAAAATTTATTTAATTATTATATATTGTTCCACTTTGTTATAATGAATAGTAATACAATCGTTATTTAAACATTTGATTGAATTGCATTTGTTAAACAATTGAACAGAAAAATTTCGAATAGAAAAAATATTATTTGTTTAATAATGAATAGAATTGTTTATTTATGAATAGAAGAACTTTAAAAATAATTTACCATGCAATGATTGAAAGTATTATAAACTACGGAATAATTGCCTGGGGTGGTGCTTATAATACCACTAGAAATTCTTTAGTATCAACTCAAAATAGACTGATTCAAAAAATTATTATAGATGAAAATTGTAATGTTCTAAATATACAAAAAACTTTCATTGTGAACTTACTCATCTTATATTTCAATGATTGCAAGCAGAAACTTTCAAATACTTTTTTCAATACTAGAAATAAATCGATTTCACTTCCTAAAATTAATAAAAACATCACAAGTCAAAGTGCAAAATACACGGCCTTTAAATATTTTAATATATTACCAAACAAATTGAAATGTTTTGCTGGAACAACCAAATTACTGAAGATAAGTCTAATTCGATGGATAAAGCAATATGACTTATGATTTTCTCTAAACTACTATTATAAATTAATTAATTATGTAAGCTGGCTTTCTTGATTTGGAATTTAATTTATACCAGTCCTATGAACGGATGTTCTGCATCTCTATAGGACAGATATGTTATTTATTATACTATATATTGATTATCTGTAATATTTTCTGGTTTAATAAATATAAATATAAATTTTAATAATAGTTTGGTGAAAAATTATTTAACGGAAACATATTAAAAATTATCAATGTCCTACTATGAAAAACCTTAAAAATGAAATTCAAAAAACAAATTTTTCAGTATAATTTTAAAATTTTTGATTAAGTCGATTTTGAAGACTCAATCACATTTTTTCAACTCAGAAAAGTAGTTACAACTCAGAAACCGTCCTTAAATCAGCTGACCCAAGCTAAAAATACTGCACGCCAAATATTTTTATATAAATATCATTGAATAACTGCTAAGCCTGTAATTGTGACAGTGTTATCTCTGTATCTGAGTTAGGGCTAGGGTTATCTGCAAGAAGGTTTTACTTGTAGTTGCTACAAATCTAGGCTTGTAGCTATAATAGGACCACTGTGGCTGATGAAATTTAGATGACAAATGCTCTAATTCATTTTAATGTTGTCGTAAACTTTTCTTGGAAGTCCAGGCCATGCGTTTTTACTGTACGCTCCCAAAAATACGTAGAGTATACTTTACGCCTCCACAACCTAATGCGACTCTGCAGCGTAATCCTATATTTTGCAAGGACGTTGATTTTGCTAGTCATGAGGACAGAAACTGGTTCATAATCGTTTGAAAAATTAGTATTGAAAAAAGTAGGTATCCAAGACAGTATGTAACCAAACTTGTTGACCTAGACAAACTAGAATAAAAATGCACCAAAGCACAGCTGGTTCCCTGAGATCAAGAACAGAGTATTGAGAGGTGGCTTTAATAGCTATTTTACGTTTGATGTAGTTGCATATTTGTAATTATTTTCATTAATTTGACGTAATTTAATTTTAACATGTGGAGGTTATTATTTATGTGTCACATAGATTTATTTTGATTTTAATATGTAACAGCGTTTAGGGAGAGCTAATCGTGAATAACGTCACTTTGCTTAATCATTTTTTTTACAATATTGGTACAACTTTTTTCACAGATAAACCGTTATCCCGAATTGAAAAACTGGCCATAAAATTTCAGATTACATGGTATGAAATTTTAAAAATAATTAACAAAAACAAAACGAATAAATAAAAGTCACTGTCCGATCACAGATATGACTCTCGAAAACAGTCTAATTATCTGAATTATATTTTTTCGTAAAGTAATTTTCTATCGAATGAAATTGTAAAAAGTACGGCTTGATATTATTTTGGATATTATTTATGTATTCTTCAGCTTTTTCTTGGCCAACGATTTTTGGAATGATTTCACTCCACTGTAATATCAAAGAAAGTATATAATTAACATATGTACTAAAGTATGCCAGAAAAAAATGACATCCGATTTGTGCTTAAAAAGGATCTGAATATCGAAAAGAAAATTCTTCTGTTTAAAAAACATCTTAAGCTCAATTTCACAAGGTAGTGCCGGTTATTTTAAATTTCCTAATCCAATAATTTAATTTATTGCTAATGTTATTATTTGAAAAAAATTAGAAAAACGGTTGACCCTAAAGGCCATCTCTGCAACTTCCCGCTAATTCCGTTAATACACGGCCGTTTTTTTTTGAGCTCTTCGAGCTCGAAAAGATACCTTTTCTGTGCTTTTGCGCTCTTTGAACTCAAAAGACTGATAGAAGTTCCATAGAACCAGTTTTTTGAATTTTCAAACCCCAATAACTCTTGAATGAATCAACCGATTTTTACGTGGTTGGCGGCATTCTACGCAGTTTTTTGAGCCTCATGAAGAATTTTTAAGTTTTAATTGGTCAAGCTATAAATTTCGGAGTAACTCCGAAAAAACATGTTTTCAGTTTTCTTTCGTTCACGATATCTCTCAAACGAATCAACCGATTTTGACCGGATTGGTGGCGATAGACGTGGTTTTTTTTTTTTTTCTCAAAAGAGCCGTTTAAAAGTTATTAGGCCGGACGCACTGATCATCCGCCCCGCAGAGACGGCAAAGTATGCTGAAATTCTGAAGCGAATAAAGCAGGACGTCCCTGGCGAACAGGTCCGTACTACAGTGGATAAGATCCAAAGAACTAGGACCGGGAGCTTGCTGATTACGCTTTCGAGGAAGAGCACTGACCGAGGCCAAGCCTTACAGAAGACCATCGCGGACATCCTCCAAGAAGACGTGAAGGTAATCTGCAAAGGACCACAGGAAGACGTCGAAATCCGAGATCTTGACGGTACCACAACCAAGGAGGATATTCAGGCTGCCTTGCAAACGGAAATCAAAGAAACCTGTGAGATACCACTAGGGACAATTAAGATTCATAAGGCCTACAGAGGTACTCAGACAGCTGTTGTGACACTACCAGCAGCTGCAGCGCGGAAGATTTTGACAGGAAGCGGTAAAGTCCGGATTGGCTGGGCCAACTGCCGAATCAGAGCTACGAGGAGACCAATCCAATGTTTCAAGTGCTGGCACTTTGGATACCTTGGATCCCAGTGCAAGAGCAATGTGGATCGGTCTAAGCTATCTATTAGGTGCGGACAAGAGGGACACAAGATTGCAGAATGCGAAAACCCAGCGAAATGTGTATTATGTGCGGATCAAAGTGCGGAGAACTCGGCTCATCATGCCGGCGCATCCAGGTGCCCAGTATTTAAAGAGGCAATCCAGAAGATAACAAACAAACAAACATGAAGATATTGCAGCTAAACCTAAACCATTGCGAAGCTGCACATGATCTGCTTATGCAAACAGCAAGAGAACTAGAGTTAGACTTAGTAATGATAGCAGAGCCATACAGACACCTGAATACCCAGACGTGGGAATCTGACAGCACCGCCAAGGCTGTCATCTGGTCTTGTGGTAAGCATCCCTTCCAGAGTGTAGTTAACAATGATAATGCCGGCTATGTAGCAGCAACAGTTAACGGCACCCGTTACTACAGCTGTTATGCACCACCTAGCCTATCCACTGCTGAATTCAATGAATTCTTGGACAAACTGTCCGAGGACGCCAAGCAGCATTATCCAGTCGCGATTGCCAGTGACTTCAACTCCTGAGCAGTAGACTGGGGCAGCAAGCAGACAAATGCGCGAGGAAAAGCACTTCTAGAAGCTGTCTCTACACTAGATGTAGTCGAGCTCAACAGTGG